TTCCTCCATCTTGTGACTGTGTAACTCCCTCTCTTGGATATCAGCATGTGAAGGACACTGTTCAGGAACTAGTTGATGCTCTGTATGTGATGACTACTTCCATTCTGGAGAGGATCACACATACATGGATCCTGAGATTGAAGCTCAAGCCGGTGACGAATGATATTTTTCGAACAAAAACATTTCAAATCGTAGATATAACTCTCTGTCAAGGACACGGACATGGCAACGCATCCTGTTCTCAGACCCTGCGTCTTCAGTCTGTTGGCTCTGAATCTCAGTTTGAGAAGAACCAGCCTGTGTCTGGATGAACTGAGTCAACCTCGGCCAAGGAAACAGGGAGTGGATCTCTTCAAAATGAGCATAGGGAAATATTATTTTTCCTTCAGGAATGTTCAGGGGGGTCTTCATCCAACGGTTTCTGTAATAAAGGAAGGAGTGCAGAATACAAATCGATTCTTAGAATGTGTTTATTCGTACATAAATTAGAGTACAATTCCATTACAACATTTAGAGAAATAAGTAACCTTTCTTTCGCAAAATGAAATTTACTCAAGACCCCTGACATCAGCACTTCTGCCTTTAGCTTAGCGGTGGTGACGTGAAGTCATGTGACCGTGCTGTAGTTCCTTTATAGCCCAACATTAGCCGCCTTTAGCTTAGCGGTGGTGACGTGAAGTCATGTGACCGTGCTGTAGTTCCTTTATAGCCCATCATTAGCCACCTTTAGCTTAGCGGTGGTGACGTGAAGTCATGTGACCGTGCTGTAGTTCCTTTATAGCCCAACATTAGCCACCTTTAGCTTAGCGGTGGTGAACGTGAAGTCATGTGACCGTGCTGTAGTTCCTTTATAGCCCAACATTAGCCTCCTTTAGCTTAGCGGTGGTGAACGTGAAGTCATGTGACCGTGCTGTAGTTCCTTTATAGCCCATCATTAGCCACCTTTAGCTTAGCGGTGGTGATGTGAAGTCATGTGACCGTGCTGTAGTTCCTTTATAGCCCAACATTAGCCGCCTTTAGCTTAGCGGTGGTGAACGTGAAGTCATGTGACCGTGCTGTAGTTCCTTTATAGCCCAACATTAGCCACCTTTAGCTTAGCGGTGGTGATGTGAAGTCATGTGACCGTGCTGTAGTTCCTTTATAGCCCAACATTAGCCGCCTTTAGCTTAGCGGTGGTGACGTGAAGTCATGTGACCGTGCTGTAGTTCCTTTATAGCCCATCATTAGCCACCTTTAGCTTAGCGGTGGTGACGTGAAGTCATGTGACCGTGCTGTAGTTCCTTTATAGCCCAACATTAGCCGCCTTTAGCTTAGCGGTGGTGACGTGAAGTCATGTGACCGTGCTGTAGTTCCTTTATAGCCCAACATTAGCCGCCTTTAGCTTAGCGGTGGTGACGTGAAGTCATGTGACCGTGCTGTAGTTCCTTTATAGCCCATCATTAGCCACCTTTAGCTTAGCGGTGGTGACGTGAAGTCATGTGACCGTGCTGTAGTTCCTTTATAGCCCAACATTAGCCACCTTTAGCTTAGCGGTGGTGAACGTGAAGTCATGTGACCGTGCTGTAGTTCCTTTATAGCCCAACATTAGCCTCCTTTAGCTTAGCGGTGGTGAACGTGAAGTCATGTGACCGTGCTGTAGTTCCTTTATAGCCCATCATTAGCCACCTTTAGCTTAGCGGTGGTGATGTGAAGTCATGTGACCGTGCTGTAGTTCCTTTATAGCCCAACATTAGCCGCCTTTAGCTTAGCGGTGGTGAACGTGAAGTCATGTGACCGTGCTGTAGTTCCTTTATAGCCCAACATTAGCCACCTTTAGCTTAGCGGTGGTGATGTGAAGTCATGTGACCGTGCTGTAGTTCCTTTATAGCCCAACATTAGCCGCCTTTAGCTTAGCGGTGGTGAACGTGAAGTCATGTGACCGTGCTGTAGTTCCTTTATAGCCCAACATTAGCCACCTTTAGCTTAGCGGTGGTGACGTGAAGTCATGTGACCGTGCTGTAGTTCCTTCATAGAACAACGTTAGCTTTTTACTTCAGAAATCATAAAGTGGTGTTAATATGTGGAGATTATTCTGATGAACTAAACGTGTAAGAATCATAAACATTTGTTTGACACAGAGATTATTTTCTGCAATAATCCAGAATCACATGGAGACATCCCATTGGACCAGGGAGATGCTGCCTTCAGGGTCCAACACAGAAATAAATCATCCCTTCACCATCATATTGATATGACTATAGCTTCTTAGAGCAACAGTATAACAAAGTGCTCAGAGATTTTCACAGCGCTGAGCGTGAGTAATGCTCTCAGCCAGCATCCCAAGGCTTTCAGGGAGTCATTAGTGAATGTGTTTAAATGCAGAAATCCAAATATCACTGGGTTTCCTTGAGTCCTGGCTTTAAATCCTCTCTCCTCTGAAGGCTGCTGTGGGAGAGACCACTAATGAGCACCATTCGTTTACAACATGCTGCTTTACAGCCCCGGACAATAGTTTAACTAAAGGGCTCTCTAATGGAAACACTAAACGTCCCCCTGAGATCACCATCAGTCTGCTGTCATTACAGAGGTAACTCACTAAATGCCACTCTGACAGGGTCATTATGGGTGGAGGAAGTACTCAGAACCTCTACTGAAGTTAGATAACTTAAAACACACTCTAAAAATACTGTGTTACGAGAAGAAGTCCCACATTAACAGTTTTTTCCCCTGTAGTTCGTTCTATAGGTTTTTGTGCATGTAAATGGTCTGCAAAGGATAACATCCCTGTTTCTATAGTGATATACTGAATTTAAGCAGGGAGAGGACTCTTTAAAGTAGAGACACTACATACTGATATACACTGAACATCAGCAGGAGAGGACTCTTTAAAGTAGAGACACTACATACTGATATACACTGAACATCAGCAGGAGAGGACTCTTTAAAGTAGAGACACTACATACTGATATACACCTGAACATGTGTAGAATATGTCCTCTTAAAGACTGTGTATGTTTTATCTTGGCCCCTTTTCTCAAGCGTCAGAGGGATTATCTTCATTATGTCTCATGATCGTATTGCACTTTTAACCTGTTTGTGAATAAGTGAATTGACATATTTTCTAACTATTTGCACTGTTTTAAGAGCGCTTTAAAGGCTGGCTGACTGTCTTTAAAAACCTCTCATGGAGCTATTAAAGAAACATCATATTTTGTTGTGTGTTCTGTCTTTTCTCAAACTGTTTGTTTCCAGGCCGGGAGTGTTTTTTAAAGATGGATATTTTACTGGAATTGGCAAAAAAAAAAAAAAAATCCTCTTGCACAACCAAGACCAGAAACCTCTCCTGAGAATCAGACATCATTCTGTGGTGGAAACAGAAACAAAAACTGATGTTTTCGCATGCATTTAAAATTAAAATACAACATCTGAGTCTGATAGAGAGGTCGGGTCTTATTAAGAAAGACAGTTGCATGTCATACTGCGAATACTTTGGACCACCACTGCTGTTTTATTTAGTTCCACTTCAACTTAAGTGCACAACAATATTGTTCATAGATCCTCCTTAATGTTTGCTCTCAGAATAAAGAAATAGACAAACTCCAACTGAATCTGTCATCATCTAACAGGTAAATATCTTCATCGAAAATAACAAAAAAGACCATGAAACCCTTACGGCCCGTCCACACGGCAGCGTCACGTGCTTCAACGGAGACGTTTCCCATTCACTTTTCAAGCGTCGACGGAAGCGCCAGCCAATCAAATCATATGCCAGTACAAGCTCTAGCCAATCAAACCGCGTGCTTGTGTGTCCGGGGCGGGAGATTAATGTGATTGGTTGTTGGTCGCACGCCCGACACGCCCACCGGCAAGCTTCAACGCGACGCTGCCGTGTGGACGTACCGTTAATGTTTGCTCTCAGAATAAAGAAATAGACAAACTCCAACTGAATCTGTCATCATCTAACAGGTAAATATCTTCATCTAAGATAACAAAAAAGTCCATGAAACCCTTACATAGAAAGATAACTTTACTATCAGAGTTTTTTCTTAAGTTATGCTCTTTTAGTGTTTAAAAAAAACATATATTATAGATAGATAGATAGATATAATGGGAGGGATGAAACCCTCTCACATGCAGAGCACACAGCACACAGCGACATTTGGGCTCTGCATTTAACCATCCTAGAACCAGGAGTCTAGCACTAGGAGCAGTGGGCAGCTATTGCACAGCGTCCAGGGAGCAATGGGAGTAAGGGGGGAAGGGGGATGTCCGGTGCCTTGCTCAAGGGCACCACAGCAGGGCAGGAGGTGAACTGGGACCTCTCCACGTAGCAGTCCACACTCCATATGTAGGTCTGGTCGGGGACTTGAACCGGCGACCCTACGGCTCACAGACCAAGCCCCTACTGACTGAGACCCTGCCGGCTTTTTATATGGATTTATATTATTTTGTTGCTTTTTATGATTCTGGAGCATTATGCTTAATGTGTTTTGGGACATTCAAAGAGTAAAACAACCTTTCTTCTGTTATGATATTCATAATGAATACCAACAATGATTAGAAAATCTATTTTAAACTTCATGACTCTGTGGGGGCATATCAAATATAAATATTAAAATAAAAATCATTTAAAAAACATAACAATAAAAAAAAAGAAATACAAATAATACTAATAAAGAATATAATGATAATAAAAACATACTATACCATGATAATGATAATACAAATATTTAAAAAATACTGTAAGTAAATAAAATACATTAAAACATTTTTTAAATAAAATAAAAATCATGATATTAATATTAATTAAATAATAATAATTTGTATTTTTACTTTCTTATTGTTCCCGTGTATATTCCATGTGCTATCTGTGTTCATCTCTTATTCTGTTGCTGCTATGACAGCTGAGTTCCCCTACGGGCATCAATAAAGTTCCATCTTATCTTTAATGAATTTGTTATTGTTTGGTTATCTCTACAACCGGAACCTTGGTTATCAAACAAAGGTTCCCCTCCGGAGTGCTTATTTCGCAGCACATGCTAAAAGAGGCTAGCGGAAAACAAACACAACATCAATCGTGTTCATCATGGCAGAGGTAAGATAACGATCATTAATATTATATATTTTAGTTACAACATATGTGTGGGAACTGTTTCTTCCTAACGTGATGTTTCATGAGTGTTTCTGAGTGGTATTACTGGATGAAAAGAGACGGAAAGTGGACTAGTTTGATCAAGCTAACAGGCTAAAGTAGGCCTGTTTATACAAATATGCTGGAAACTAGTTATATATTTTTTATTAAATAGCGACATTGTGTTGTTTCATAAGCTAGGGGTGTAAAGTACCTAGGTACAGTTACTCAAGTACTTAAAATACTATTACTCCACTACAATTCAGAGGTACATGGTGTACTTGTACTCCACTACATGTATTTAATACCTTTAGTTACTTCACAGATGTGGATGAATGATGTGAAATATAATCAAGTGTTAAATCAGACTTTAGTTCCACCTGGAGTAAATCCACAAGCTACCCTGCAGTATACAAAGTCATTCAAACTAGCTGCACCTTTACCAGCTTTGAGAACACTTTCATGATCAATCATTATAAAACATATCATATATATTATTCTGAAATGGACCAATCTGCACAATGACTACTTTTACTGTCGCTACTTTCACTATATTTTGATGATAATACTTTTATACTTTCACTTGAGGAACATTTTGAATGCAGGGCTTCTACTGTAACAGAGTATTCCTACGCTCTGGTTCTTCTATAATGCTTTAATAGACAGATCAAGTCTGCAATTTGACGTCACAGTGGCTCTATTTGTGACAGATATTAAGACACGATACATGGACAACAAACATTTAACATCACAACACGATCACTGAGAGAAACCTGCTAAAATACCCTTTAGTGTGCGTTAGACCTGGGGTTTAAATCTGTATTCACTGTGAGGATTGACTGGTGAAGGAGAGCTTCAGTCTGACTTTATGACATCGTGTGACCCTGTGTCTCCGATTGGATGGACACAGTTCATATTCACTGTTCAGTACGTGGTTTGGGTCAGAGATGGGGGTGTTGGTGGGGGGGCTGTGGCTCAGTGGACTACTGTGTTGATCTTTGGATCAGGGGAGCACTGGTTCAATCCCCACTGCTCTCAGCATGTCACTGTGTCCCCAAAGACACTTCACCCCAAATTTCTCCCCCCATAAACATTGCACACAGGTCAGTGAAAAATGTCAGTTTTTACAACACCAGGGTTTTATCCAAACTGGGTAACAGGAGCGCTGCGCCCTCAAACCAAAATGCAGATTTCCCCCCGCAAAATGTTAAAGTGATGCCAGAAAAACAATATTTCTGTTTCTCAAAAACGGTATAATTACTCCAAAAATATGAGTATGGGGCAATATGTAAGTCGCTTTGGATAAAACCGTCTAACGAGTGACATTGGACATTGTTGGACAGCCTCACTAGGTTATTATGGTATGCTGACTCATAAAGTGTCTCAAAGGGTTTGACTTAACTACTTTTGCTTTAAAAGGCTTATGATTGTGCGTAGTGTGTTATATCAGCATGTGATGGTTTCTAAATGCTGAGTCCTGGTGTGTCCTCAGACTCACAGCCTGCAGGACATGAGGCAGCAGGCGGCCGTCGCTGCCAAAGTCTTCCTCCAGAGAGATTACTCCAACGGCACCGTGTGCCAGTTCCAGAGCAAGTTCCCCTCCGAGCTGGAGACCCGGGTAGGAAACACTTCACTGTCACTCTGAGAGATCTGTTAAACCACAGTGAGGCATTTGCATACAGTATACGGGTATCAAAGTCAACTTTACTGTCAAGAATTCCACGTGTTATAATATTCGCAGTCCCACAGTGTGACATAAAACAAGATACAAAAAGGGCCTAGATAAAAGGGGTATAAAAATGAAGTAATGAGTAGTAATAAGTTCGTATAAGTACTAGGTAATAAATATATTTACAACAAAAAACACAATCAACAGAAGTGTGTGTGTGTGTGTGTGTGTGTGTGTGTGTGTGTGTGTGTGTGTGTGTGTGTGTGGTGTGTGTGTGTGTGTGTGTGTGTGTGTGTGTGTGTGTGTGTGTGTGTGTGTGTGTGTGTGTGTGTGTGTGTGTGTGTGTGTGTGTGTGTGTGTGTGTGTGTGTGTGTGTGTGTGTGTGTGTGTGTGTGTGTGTGTGTGTGTGTGTGTGTGTGTGTGTGTGTGTGTGTGTGTGTGTGTGTGTGTGTGTGTGTGTGTGTGTGTGTGTGTGTGTGTGTGTGTGTGTGTGTGTGTGTGTGTGTGTGTGTGTGTGTGGTGGTGACTCTGAACTTCAAGAAACTGGAGCACGGTTCAGCAAAAGACCTTTCCTCTGTTTCCATCACACCTGCAGAACAGGTGCAGAACATTAGTCATGGTCTCCAGGCAGTGAATACATGCAGCTTGTGCTGATTTCTCCGAATTTCTTTGCCTTTTCACAACCATGCAATTCACGGTTAACATCCGCGAACGAATTACAGGAGGACGTTTGGGTCTAACTGGGTCTTCATTTGCGTAAATTGTTTAAAAACACGTTAATGTTTCCAGATGACTCTCGTGCGAGTTGAAAACCCTAGATAGAATGTACTATAATAGTTAGCTATGCAAGTTATTCATTATACAAGCATGAAAAGTAGTTCCAGCTTTTTTAATTAAAAAGTAGATGCAATGAAGTACAGTGTGAGTACAATATTAAATAAATGAATTAAGGTTATTTAAAGAGACACAGATTGAAGTCAGGTTTAAAAAGTAAAAGAGAAAATATGAAGCTCTCTTATTGGCCTGTAAAACATTCAGTCCACCATCAAAGTTCCTTGATGTTAAGGCCCGGACACACCAAGCCGATTTCGGCCGTCCATAGATGTCTGGCCGTCGATGAGCGTCCTGTCGCCCTACTCAGATTGGTGTGTCCCGCACCGTTGTGTCTTTTCGGCCGTAAAATAAATCACTCTGATTGGCTGTTCAGCTTAGCGAATCAGTGGTTGAGAAGCGAAACGGAAGTGAGGTACCTAAACAAACGATTAGGCACACACAAACGGCTATTATTTTTTTCCTTATCATCTCACCTGGACGCAAGAATTATACGATTATAAGTTAAACAGTCTGTGATGGACGAGAGTGAAAATGGAACGCACACTATTTGTTGTTTTGTATATATCACGCAGTCTGTCTTTCGGTTGCCTCTTTTGAATGACGAATACACACTACCGCCGCCTGCTGGTAAGGAGAGTTATTGCCACTCACGCATGCGCAGTGCGTACGTGCTACTTGGCCGTCGGCTGTAGTCTTTGCGGTGTGTTCCAGTGCGACACATGGCCAAGACGCAGGAGACGTGAGGCGACACAACAGTCGGGTCCGTCGGGACGTGTTCTTCGGTGTCAGCTTGGTGTGTCAGGGCCTTTAAACTATAACCCTAACCTTTTATTTATCTCAGAGGATGTTTGCATAACCTAAAGTTTAAAAAGCCTCATGTGTCTTACGGCGAACATTTTCCCCTGTTTGATTTGCAGAGGTCTGTCACTTCACATTCCTGCAGATAACTATCTTAGGCTGTGGGCCTGTATTATTTTTGGTAGCTTCTTACTGTTTGAATGCTTTTGGAGAATCTCACCAAGGAACTGGAAAAGCGCTCCGTGTTTTAAATGTATTTGGCAGCTAGATTGCCAAACCATGTAAGAGAGTTACAGGGGTTTCTATAAATATATAGTATGAGTTCTGTGTCTCTGATCTTGTTTATAAGATTTATAAATTATCTGGAGAACATTTCGCCCGTATACAAGATGTCTCCTGACGTAAACAACAACGTGACGTCGGAGCTCTGTAAAAACAAAGCTGTCTCTGCCGGCTGACGCTCTGTTTGATACTCAGATTTCTGGAGGAACTATACAGTTTGAGGAACAGAAATATTGTTTTCTGGCATCACTTTAACATTTAGTTATATAAATTGGGAACTGACATTGTTCACTGACCTGTGTGTAATGTGTATTTAATCAGTTCAGTTCAATTACATTTTAATATTTACAATTTTCCTGTATTTACCTTGAGCGTTAAAGGGAAGTACTAACTTGCCGAAACGCTTTGAAACATGTTTTTTATTCCAAAGGTTCAAGTTTTATTTTCAGACAAACTGTTACCCACCATTCGTTGCAATCTACACATATTTCCCCCTTGGATCAATAGAGAGGCGAAGTCCCTCCCTTTCCGGGGGACCTCCATAGGACCTTATTTTGGAAAAAGTATGTATTGATGTCAATGGAGAGAGAAAGATTATCTTCCGATCCCGTTTGAATTGTGCCATGAATTACACATATGATGTTTGTCAATTTAAAAGATAATTTTGCAAGTCAAATTTTAGTAACACTTTTTGTTGTGTGAAACGCTCAATGAACTACATCTCCCGTCTCGCACCACACACCAAGACGGCCGTCACGTTGGCACATTTCACTCCTTTCTTTCAGAATGAGGCGGAAAGTATTAAAAGAGGTGAAAATCACTCCAAGTCTGGGCATGTTGAGAGCTGTGCATACACACAAGGGGAGTTAGTCGGTTCCTAAGAGCCAGCATGCGGGACCGGGACTCTGGGATTTGTAGTCTTTCTAGTTGCATATTTTTCATAGTCTTATATTTCAACAGTTTTACGACAAACTGTGACTTTTTTGACATGGAAATGATTTTTTAAGATTGACAAACATCATATGTGTAATTCATGGCACAATTCAAACGGGATCGAAAGATACGTTTTCTCTCCCCATTGACTTCAATACATCATTCTTCCGAAATAAAGTCCCATGGTGGTCCCCGGAAAGGGAGGGACTTCACCACTCTATATCACATTTATAACGTCTGTTATAGAGAACCGCCAAAACATTATTAGGTCATCATGCTATTACATGGAGACAAACCACCCACTGAAATTAAAACTATATATAAAACAATATACATATTTTTAAATGTTGTTGTAAAACCAATCTATAATTGAACATTTTGCATTAAATGAGAAAATGTTTTCACATAATTTGATTAAATTAATTTATTCACAAATGGTCTCGAATCCTACCAAGGACCGAATGGAGACACACTCAGTTTCTTAAGCTTGAGAATAGAAACACTAAAAAGAAAGTATTACTTCCACACACCTCACACTTACCAAATACCCTAAAACTGATCTAACCCTGAATACTAAATAATACCAAGACTATAATGAACTCTAAATATTGGTTTAAAATAGGTTAGATATAAAACCAATGGTACAATACATTACATGTTACTTGTTAGAGGCTTGTATCCAAAGCGACTAACATACTCAATACTGTGGACAATCCCCACAGGAGCACTTTGGGGTGAAGTGTCTCAGGGACACAACGACATGCTGACTGCAGTGGGGTTTGAACCTGTGTACATCTGATCCCCAGACCAAGGGTCTATCCACTGCGCCACAAGCCGCCTCAATAAAAGTACAAATGAAATGCATTTCAGCGTAGCTTGTTTAGAAGTCCCCAGACATTTAACGTGTTAAGCTTTGATATATTTGGTTAATATCAGGCCATTTTAAAGAGAGATGCAGCCAAATACATTTTTTAAGTTATTGTCATATTAAGTGATTTTAAGACAACTAGCTTTTCCTCACCTGAATTCAGTCTTGTACACTAATCTATAATTCATAATGCTAATAAATCTGCGTCAATGGAAAGACTCTCAGAAGTAGAGCTGTGGTTTGAATCGCAGCCTCTGAATGGGAGATTTAGACGGAGATCAAAGGCTCTCGATGACGGTAATCAAACACGCCTAAAAACCACTGATGTGTTGGAGCTCGCTGCTGCATTCCTCGGGCAAAAGAGAGCAGAACATTGGAGGGTGGAGGACTCTTTAAAGGTCTCCTATCATGCACAATGCACTTTCTGATGTCTTCTCTACATCACCATGTGTCCCCGGTGTGTCCCCGGTGTGTCCCCGGTGTGTCAGGAGACTCACAAAGTGATGTCTTCTCTACATCACCATGTGTCCCCGGTGTGTCCCCCGTGTGTCCCCCGTGTGTCCCCCGTGTGTCCCCCGTGTGTCCCCGGTGTGTCAGGAGACTCACAAAGTGATGTCTTCTCTACATCACCATGTGTCCCCGGTGTGTCCCCGGTGTGTCCCCGGTGTGTCAGGAGACTCACAAAGTGTCAGGAAATAAACCCCTCTCTCTTTTCCTCCGTACCCACATCTCTAAAAACGGGGGAACAACGGAGCTGATCCAGATTTGCTGCGTCATGACCACATTACTAAAATGTGGGCGGGCTTTACACCCACGGGCCAATCAGAAACGTTGCTGTCAGAAACAATGAGACGTGTTCTGGAAGTAATATGGTCTGTGTTTACATTAGCATGCTAACACTCAGAGCTAACCTGTACTGGAGAGAGCATGTGTGAAGAAGCAGGAAATCAAAAGGAAGTCACCTTGTGGTAAACCTGAGAGAGAGAAAGAGTTTGAGCTCCATACTGTTTCAGAGAGAATCCTTCATGTGGTTTGGAACATGATATGGAGTTTCATCACGGCAGCATTTAGCTGAGTTTCTGCTGGGAGAGTTCTCCTGATGAGCTCTCTCTCGGCTCTCGATAGTATAATAGGAGACCTTTAATTCACCCTCAGTGTCAGAGAAATCACAGGTGCTGGTCCAGGATGGATTTAAAGATATATATTTTAAATGGTGTGTTGTCCTATTCACACAAGCTAATGGGTAGTTGTTATATTTGAAGTCCCAGGTCCTCTTATCGGTCATCTAGATGTTTACCTTGAGCTGTCAGATGCTAACGGTAGCCTCCAACTCTATTATCCGCCTGCTATGATCTGTAGCTGCTAGCTCGACCTTGAGCATAGTTTTACCTGTGTTCCTAGACCAACTCTTGCAATGGTCCGATCTACTGTTTTAGTCATTTTTGGATAAAGCGGAGACTGGATACAAAGAGTCAATTCTCCCAAAACATTTCAGCTTTCAGGGAGTGTATCATAGTTGGCAAAATGTCAACATCAGGTGTGTTAGCTTCTACCAGCTGTTGAATAGCATTAGCCGGTTCAGGCAAAGGTGAGGATTTGATGCGTCAGGAAGACATTTTGGGGTGTTTGGTTTTTGTAAAAAACCATGTAAAAAATTCTAAGTATGTGTCCTTTGTTCACTAACAAAAAAATTACAGTACGGTCACATGACTTCACGTCACCACCGCTAAGCTAAAGGCGGCTAATGTTGGGCTATAAAGGAACTACAGCACGGTCACATGACTTCACGTCACCACCGCTAAGCTAAAGGAGGCTAATGTTGGGCTATAAAGGAACTACAGCACGGTCACATGACTTCACGTCACCACCGCTAAGCTAAAGGAGGCTAATGTTGGGCTATAAAGGAACTACAGCACGGTCACATGACTTCACGTCACCACCGCTAAGCTAACGGCGGCTAATGTTGGGCTATAAAGGAACTACAGCACGGTCACATGACTTCACGTCACCACCGCTAAGCTAACGGCGGCTAATGTTGGGCTATAAAGGAACTACAGCACGGTCACATGACTTCACGTCACCACCACTAAGCTAAAGGCGGCTAATGTTGGGCTATAAAGGAACTACAGCACGGTCACATGACTTCACGTCACCACCGCTAAGCTAAAGGTGGCTAATGTTGGGCTATAAAGGAACTACAGCACGGTCACATGACTTCACGTCACCACCGCTAAGCTAAAGGCGGCTAATGTTGGGCTATAAAGGAACTACAGCACGGTCACATGACTTCACGTCACCACCGCTAAGCTAAAGGTGGCTAATGTTGGGCTATAAAGAATCGTCCTTGTTCAGGGTGTTCTTCTGGAAAACATCCAGTCATTGGATAATAAACCGGATGAACTCAGAAGCAGGATCAGGACATTAAGAACTGTAATGGTATGGCCTTCATGGATCTCGCCGACGCCATAACCTCCCAAGGATTCTCCGTTTTTTTGCCAATACCGAAATGTTACCTTGCGTCTGTTTCTATCAGACTACTGTCGACAGCCCCAGTCCAACAGCCTCAGAGTCCAGCAGCTCTCCACCCTCCATCATTCTTCAAACCCCCTTCATTTGAAGAAATTCTTGAGAAAAACACGGTTTTGATTTCCAGCCAGTCTTGGTTACAGTTTGTATCCCAGAAGCTGTCTTCAGGTCAGAGATACGTCTTTATTTTATTCAAGGTGCGCCATTGGAGAAGGAGAATCCATCTAGATTCCTTCCAGGATTTTCACCGTACGTCAGTTATTAAGTGAAAACATTTATTTGGCAAGGCCATCCTAATAATTTCCAATGTGGGAAGGTGGCCCAGAAATCCCTTGATGAATGTAGACTCCAAGAAAATAGAGCCGCTTATTTATCTGGAGATGGAAAGAGAAAACTATCTGGTGCTAGCAGGATGAATTACCAGTCGAATATCCCAACAAAGCTCTCGCACTTATAGCCAAATATGCACTTGGCAATACCTTTTGTATTATCATTTTTAACCTTTTTGATGTTTCTTGATGTATTTCAGATTGACAAACAGCAGTTCGAGGAGACGATGCAGACGCTGAATAACTTGTACGCCGAAGCGGAGAAGTTGGGAAGCCAGTCGTATATTGAAGGCTGTCTGGCCTGCCTCACTGCGTACACCGTCTTCCTGTGTATGGAGACGCACTACGAGAAGGTGAGACACATTTCAACTACAAATATGCATACATTAAGGATTAATAGAGCCAAAGAAAAGTTTATGATACTTACACTTTTAGTTCAGCAAGATAATCTCCACATATTAACACCACTTTATGATTTCTGAAGTAAAAAGCTAATGTTGGGCTATAAAGGAACTACAGCACGGTCACATGACTTCACGTCACCACCGCTAAGCTAAAGGAGGCTAATGTTGGGCTATAAAGGAACTACAGCACGGTCACATGACTTCACGTCACCACCGCTAAGCTAAAGGTGGCTAATGTTGGGCTATAAAGAAACTACAGCATGGTCACATGACTTCACGTCACCACCGCTAAGCTAAAGGAGGCTAATGTTGGGCTATAAAGGAACTACAGCACGGTCACATGACTTCACGTCACCACCGCTAAGCTAAAGGAGGCTAATGTTGGGCTATAAAGAAACTACAGCACGGTCACATGACTTCACGTCACCACCGCTAAGCTAAAGGTGGCTAATGTTGGGCTATAAAGGAACTACAGCACGGTCACATGACTTCACGTCACCACCGCTAAGCTAAAGGAGGCTAATGTTGGGCTATAAAGGAACTACAGCACGGTCACATGACTTCACGTCACCACCGCTAAGCTAAAGGTGGCTAATGTTGGGCTATAAAGGAACTACAGCACGGTCACATGACTTCACGTCACCACCGCTAAGCTAAAGGAGGCTAATGTTGGGCTATAAAGGAACTACAGCACGGTCACATGACTTCACGTCACCACTGCTAAGCTAAAGGCGGCTAATGTTGGGCTATAAAGGAACTACAGCACGGTCACATTACTTCACCTCACCACCGCTAAGCTAAAGGTGGCTAATGTTGGGCTATAAAGGAACTACAGCACGGTCACATTACTTCACCTCACCACCGCTAAGCTAAAGGTGGCTAATGTTGGGCTATAAAGGAACTACAGCACGGTCACATGACTTCACGTCACCACCGCTAAGCTAAAGGTGGCTAATGTTGGGCATGAGGTTTAGTTATCTCACTTTTACAGTTTTAGCATAGACTGTTCCATTTATGCTAAAAGTTTGCATTGGATGTCTAAAATGTATTCATAGTGTTTGTTGATGTTGAGACAATACTTAACAATTGAGAAGTTTAAAGAACTTCTTGGCTTCCTGGCTTTTGTTAAAGTTTTTGTAGATATTTGTAAATGGTACCAAACTTGTATCATATGGGCATTACTACCATTTAAAAATTATATTTAGTCCTAATAATGTGTAGAAATGTACCTTTTTTACAAACCCTGAGTCCTGCTTTGACCGCTGCATGTAGACGTATAAGTGACACATTGACATGTAGATGTTTAAAGCAGGTTAACACTTCAGGAAGTTGTGCTCCTGCTGTGAAACGCTTTAGCCTGGCTGTAAATCCATATTTACGACCTCTGAAAGCCAGCAAATAAATATGATTTGTGTACATCTCAAATCTCTTTTGGCCCAGTTTAAGTACAATGTTGGATTTACTATGCCAATGGTCTTTTCCTCTTACATTTAAATATTTTCTTTTTTAAATGAACTGGGATAAAAAGCATTTGGCTGGGTTTGGGTTTTATGAGCACTCATAAAGTCGTGGATTTTAAATTGACTGGTCGTTACCAAAGAAAAAAGGGGGTCTGTTGCTCAGCTCAAGAATGTGGTGGGTTGGATCCTATGGTTACTCATTGAGCCAGACAGTTTGGGAGTTTGCTAGTTTTATTCTAGGTCTCAACATAACCTTCGACAGAATAAACAGGTCATTACTAAATACTGTAAATGGTCTTTGTGGAGTTGAAATGATCTGTTTATGACTAAGATAGTTATGATGTGAATGTCCTCACTATTTGGTCTTCAAATCCAGATATTTGACACACTAACGTCTGAACTGATGCTCGATCAAATGTGGAGATATCTCTGAAGATAATACAATTAATCCAGAGGGGGAAATGGATGTGTGTAGTACATTTTATGGCAATCCATTTAAGGCATTTCACTCGAAATCACGAATGTCATCATAGTGCACAACCAAAGACTGGAGGCGTTTATAAGCAGTCGATGTAGTCACCGTGATTTCTCCATTGGGTTGTAAAAACGCGGTTTCGAAGCCTCGATTTCGGCATTTTAGTCGTCGCCAGTTTAATCTTTTTGGAAGAGATATGTGAGGATGCAGCTTAGTACAACCGGGGGCTTCAAGAGGCCAAATGTGTACAATCAATTCAAAAAGGCTAACTGTGAAACTGTGTTAAAGTTGTAACACACCGTTGTAGCTTTTTCATCTATTTTATACTCATAGACTTCTAAGCAATCAGACTGCTGAACATTAGAGAAACTTAAATCTTGATTTCACTTTCAGACCCAGAGGTTGGCCCCAAGTTGCTATATAGGAATGTTTGTGAAGAAAATGTCAATAATCCATCTTGAGATTTCTAGTCTTCGAGTCTATATCAAAGTGACTAAGATGGATGATTTAAAATCTAGAGAGATGGTTACAAGGAAATAAAGTAAGTTAACCAAGATAAAGCAATTCTCAAACACTACCAACATTATCTTTTACTGCTTCTGTGCTGCTAGGATTTACCTCATGAAATGCTACATTGCATCCATAAACATATCAATAACTTGGATGCACTGTGTGTCTTATTCACCCTAAACTCTCTGGGATGTATTAAATCAAATCAAATCAAGGTTTATTTATAAAGCACATTTTAAAAGCGATTTTTGGTCGGGCCAAAGTGCTGTACATGTAATAACTACAATCACATAAAATCACATTTCTATAATCACAATAAAAGACAATAAATAAAACACAGGGTTAAAGTCAGGAGTCGTGCTCCGCTCTGACTAGAAGGCCAGAGAGAAGAAGTGTGTTTTAAGAGTAGATTTAAAAACCCCTAGGGTCTGGGCCGACCTCACATGGAGGGGCAGAGTGTTCCAGAGCCTAGGGCCAGCTGCTGCGAAGGCTCGGTGCCCTCTGGTTTTGAGCCTGGTCTTGGGCACTACCAGCAGCAGCTGGTCAGCAGACCTTAAAGCTCTGGCTGGGGTGTAGCGCTGGAGGAGTTCAGCTATATAGGCCGGAGCCGGCCATGTATGGCCAATCTAGAGCAGAACATTTCATGTAAATCATTGATAGGTCTTGCGTCTTGTGCGAACAGTTAGAGATTGAGATTCTTCTTTTAGAAGACAGCTGAGAACATTTCAACAGTTACAATGAAATATACTTGCAGTTACAGGGACTAGTAAACATTTGCAATGAGGGAACAGTACACATTGAAACCCTCCCCTTCTCATTGTCCATGTTTCTTCTGATGTGCATCTTATACAACGTTCATGAACTTTATACAAAAACAGAAGGGATGTTTCAGAGTAGTGTTCATTTCGTTGACTAAGACGAGACGATGACGAGACGGCGCCGACGTCAGTAAACAATAACTGTAACGATATCAACATGCAATATCGTTGACGAAGAAAGACGAAAATGTAGTTTACTAAATAAAAACGTTGCCAAAATCTCTCGTTGACGAAAAAGGAGGAGACGAAATATTATCAAAGATAACGTTACATCTTGCATTGCTTTATCAGAAGGGAAGCAATGTGGCCGTAACACAGCTGGTAAGAACACCACACACCAGGTACTCTCTGCAAAGCTGCTTTCTTAATCATTCAACCTGTGTTCTTCATCAAATAAAGACAAGATATAATCTTATTGTGAAATAAGTTTGACTAAAAGGACAAATTATTGGTTTTCTAGACTAGTTTGACTGAAATGTTCAATATAATCTGATGACTAAAAAAGACTCAAATGTCAACAGTTTTCAAAATAGTTAGTTTTCTTTGAGACTAAAATGCTCAGACTTTTAGTCGACTAAAACTTGACTAAATAAAAACAGGATGAAGGTGACTACATATGACTAAAACTAACAAGGACATTTGACACAGGACTAAGACTAACGGTATGTCCACACGGTTCCGTCGCGTGCTTCAACGGAGACGCTTCCCATTCACTTTAAATGGGATGACGTCAAGCTTTACCGAACTGCATTGTGGTTCCGTCACGTCGCTTTGCCTCCGTTGTGCTCGCTTCGAAAAGTTCAACTTCTCAAGTGTCGACGGAAGCGCCAGCCAATCAAATCGTATGCCAGTACAAGCGCTAGCCAATCGAACCATGTGCTTGTGTGTCCAGAGCGGGAGATTAATGTGATTGGTTGTTGGTCGCGCGCCAGACACGCCCACCGGAAAGCTTCAACGCGACGGAACCGTGTGGACGTACCGTAAGACTAAATTGAAAAATAGCTGCCAAAACTAACACTATTTCAGAGGCATACTGACATCGTGAGGGACAATCCTGCAGGTGTAATAACAGTTAAACAAACACGAAATTACAATATTTTGGTAATTAGACCAAGCAACCTTTTTCTTTAGGTGATAGAACTGGTTATCAGCTCAACAGTAGTTTGTTAATTCTATGAAATGTGGCCGTGAGATTGAGATTCTTGATACATTGACACCAGTTTTTCGATTTATGAGAAATGTTCCTGAAACTGTGATTTTTCGTTCCTTTTTTTTTTTAAGGTTTTGAAGAAGATTGCAAAGTACATTCAGGAGCAGAACGACAAGGTCTACGCCCCGCGAGGCCTCCTGCTCACCGACCCCATCGAGAGAGGCCTGAGAGTCGTATCCTAAACTTTAACCAGGAAACTCTGTTGGTCGTCTTCCATCAAATGCATAAGAAATGTCCCCTTTAAACACACGTTCAAAAGCATTGACTTCCAGACGTTTTCTGAGTCTATAGGACACAGGTTATTAACATTAATTAGTTAAATGTTATGAATGAAGCCTTTTTTCTTGTTAGGGATATTTGGAGGTGGTCCATGACTTTGTTTTATCGGGTTAATTGGTCTTTTGTCTAAAAAAAAGCTTAAGAAAACAATGCCCTAAATAAATTATTTCCAGCTACTTACAGTATCTGACTCTCAGATGGATTAAAAAACACAGCCACAATGCTTTTAAATGGTCTGCATTTAAACAGCCCTAACATAAAAAAAACCTTCTCATTATGCAAGAATGAGTGTGTGCGGGAAAGAGGGATGATGCATCGAGCGTTTTGGGCGACTTTCACTTGTTAAACACAGGCTTTAAGTAGCTTTACCAATGACCTAATACATGTAGTGATTTATAGTTTACAGGAAGTGTGTGTGTGTGTGTGTGTGTGTGTGTGTGTGTGTGTGTGTGTGTGTGTGTGTGTGTGTGTGTGTGTGTGTGTGTGTGTGTGTGTGTGTGTTGTGTGTGTGTGTGTGTGTGTGTGTGTGTGTGTGTGTGTGTGTGTGTGTGTGTGTGTGTGTGTGTGTGTGTGTGTGTGTGTGTGTGTGTGTGTGTGTGTGTGTGTGTGTGTGTGTGTGTGTGTGTGTGTGTGTGTGTGTGTGTGTGTGTGTGTGTGTGTGTGTGTGTGTGTGTGTGTGTGTGTGTGTGTGTGTGTGTGTGTGTGTGTGTGTGTGTGTGTGTGTGTGTGTGTGTGTGTGTGTGTGTGTGTGTGTGTGTGTGTGTGTGTGTGTGTGTGTGTGTGTGTTCCATGGACCTTATTGCTTTAAATGGTTGGAAAATGAAGCCGAACTTTCTTCAAAAAGCTTTTCTTTGACTGCATCCGGTAAAGATTGAGGTGACCATCTTTGAAGACAGAAGCCTGACCAGATAAAAGCTTCCACGGTGAGTCTTAAAGCTCATATTTATCTGTATATACCATGACTTTCTTCTTTCCTAATGGGACATATTTGACACAAGGCCAAATACAAATACATGTTTCTGTTAGGGAGTAATTGGTCCTCCTTCACCCTCTGACACAGCTGCCCTAACCCTTGAGCAGCCGCTATCTCCCTTAAGGAGGGTCTGCCCTAGCAAGTCGTTGTTGTTACCAGTTTGTGACCGGGCTACTCTCGGTCAGAGATAGTTATTGTTGTGGGACACCTGGAACATTTCATGGAATGTTGATTTATTACACTCTGAACTACAGAAGGGTTCTTCAGAATTGATTGTGGCATCTCAACCGTGTGGTCAGACCCCCGGGACATGTCTTGTGAATTCTCCGGGGCCGAAGCTCCAGATAAACCGTCAGTGTTTGCCATCAAAGCTCCAGCTCTCCATCGTGTCTCTCTTTGAGTCCTGACGCTTCAGAAGTTTCCCCCACATTTTCCAATTATGAAGCAGGCATATTTCCCTTGGGTTTTGAGAAGGAGTGCAGAGAAAAGGGGGTCTTTTTTAGAAAGAGCTTTAATGAGAGGGCTCACTGCATACTTAATGTGTGTGTGTACAGAAGATTTAACGCCTCCTCCGCATTCAAAGAGAACCCCCACATCAAAGTGTGAAGCCTCTTCCTCTGTGAGTCATGCTAGTGACTGTTTCATGGAGCATTTAAAGGATTACTCTGCTTGCTTTATGACGTTGAACTGCGGTGTTTGGTCACAGTCTGCTCATGAAGACCTCATGAGAAAGTGATGAAGACTCCTGTCAGCAACATGTCTTTAAGTCATCAAACAATTACCACATGTTTCTTTAAAATGGCACATTTTCTCGTTTGCTTCGCCAAGCTTTACCACAATTATTTCAAATTGCGCTTTTTAATTTTCATTAATTTTTCATTTGTCAGACCGTTTATAGATTTTCACCGTAATCTGTATTTTTGTTCTTACTCTCTAATGCTGGTTTATTTCTATTTTGAGATGTTTCTGTTTTAGAATTGTTTATTTCTACTCTTTTAATTTGCTATTATGTGTATTAATAAAGTACTTCTTATTAGGGCTGTGCAATTAATCGTATTTTAATCTCGATTACGATTTTGGCTTGCAGCGATTACGAAAGCAACGTAATCGAAATAAAACGATTATTATTTTTATTAAAAAAAAAAAATAATTACATTTTTTTTTTTTTTGGTTTTTCAGTTGAATTATACTTAAAGTTCAGGGTAATCAACTGTTAAAAACATACTGTTCACATTTTTGTTTCAATAAATGGATGTTTTCAAAGTAAATGGATAATTGTTTTGTAATAATCGTGATATCAATTATTGACCAAAATAATCGTGATTAGGATTTTTGCCATAATCGCACAGCCCTACTTCTTATCTTATCTTATCCTACAGTGAGATGCTCGTAGTTTCTCCATCAAGATAACACAAACAGCAGCAGATATTTTATAATGCGACTGCGAGATATGAAAGCAGCAGAGAACTGGTATTTAAAATGCCTTCTTCCACAATTATCAATAGATGAAGCTGAAGAACCCTCAACAATACAACTCCAGATCCCATGAGATCAGTTTGCCTACGACTGAGATTTGAACTTACATTTGGGTGGAGGTTTTCATCCGTTACCGCCCTGATAGACCTCAGGAGTTTAATTCAATGTTCATTTTTGTTCTGGTCTTTGGACCGAGTTGGTCCATCATCACGTTTCTTTCAAATGGCCCATTTCCTCGTTTACTTCGCCAAGCTTTACCACAATTATTTCATTTTTCTCATGAGATGCTAGTCGTTTCTCCATAGAGATTAAGATGATATAGGCCCAATCCCAAACCACGCCCTACACCCTAACCCCTACACACTACCCCTCCGTAACGGAGTGAACTCCGTGGAGTGACACTCGCAGCTCAACGAGGCTCCCTCCTGTCAGATGGAGGGAGTAAATACAGCAGCAAGCTTTGGGACAAACTCCCCTCTCTCCGGCAGAAACAGGAAATGCCGTAACTGTATGTAACAACGGTTTCAAATCAGCATCTCTTTGACAAAACATTAAATTAATAACTAAAATAAAACTCCAAACATCTTTCATTGTGTTACTTTTCTGTAAAGCTCTGTTAGTTGTAAACCTGATGTTTATAAGCTTCTTAGTTTTTGCAACAGTCTGTAAATATACACAACTTTATAATAAAATGCACACATTGACCTTTTTCTAGACTAAACACAGGTAGATCCTCAGTTAAAACATATGAGGTTATCATGAGGTTGTTAACATGGCAGTTTATCAGTGGATGTTTGCTGGGACTGTTTGTAAACAGTCTCACATCTGCACAAACAAGTCTGTTCGATTTAACTGTATACAGTTTGACAAGACAAGAGCGACAAGAAAACAGCGGAGAAGTAACGGGGCAGAAACCCTCCTTTTTACGCAGCGGTCCAGACATAGACATCAAACGGCGACACATATTCAGTGTGCAGTTCCTTTGGCATTAGGGCAGGGATATCTAGATCCTTCCCAAGGTTTGACATAATGAGTTGTGCTACTTTTAAAGCAAGCAACGATGTTTTCAAATCTGTAATCAAAAGGCTCCTCAAAAACGCTATCGAAGCAGTTCCTGCCGTTGCTACGTAGTTCAAACAGTAACAACGGACTATTTTTCTTAGCGGATGCATGTCAATTTAAATCAATACATACAACTATTTTTTAAATCAATAAAATCATTTTCTAAATCCGTAAAAGCAATTCAATTAATATTGGGAGTCATCGTTACTTTGTTGAGAATGTGGCCATGTAATACAATTTTTTTGGACCTTTTAAGATTTGTATTTGAGTACCCCTGGTGTAGGGTGTAGGGCGTGGTCCCCTGGTGTAGGGTGTAGGGCGTGGTCCCCTGGTGTAGGGTGTAGGGCGTGGTCCCCTGGTGCAGGGTGTAGGGCGTGGTCCCCTGGTGTAGGGTGTAGGGCGTGGTCCCCTGGTGTAGGGTGTAGGGCGTGGTCCCCTGGTGTAGGGTGTAGGGCAGGGGTGGGCAATTATTTTTTACAAGGGGCCACTTCAGAAACTTGAGCTGTGTTGGGGGGCCGAATCAAAAATAAGTTGAACTTAATTCTGCTCAATATACCAATACTGAAAAGGTGTTTTACAGTATGTTAAAGATAAGAAATGAATCAGCTTTATACAAAAAGAAATGAGTGCTTTTGATTTTTGTTTTTCAGTTCATTTGACTTGTTCAGTGAGAAAAATCCAGTCTGTCTTGGGCTTGAACAAGTGCACGGAAATCTGGTTCAATGTCTGAGGTGGATATGCGAAGGACAGCTGAGAGGTGATCATCAGTGATAGAGGATCTGTATCTGGATTTGTTGAACTTCATCACTGAGAATGTCTGTTCACATATGTAGGTAGATCCAAAGAGGACCATCATCTTCTGAGCACGTCTCCTGATGTGTGGAAAGTTCTCCTCTTTCAGGGAAGAGTAAAACTCAGGCAGTGAGACTGACCTAAAGTGCTCTGACAGAAGTGTGTCAGACTGCAGGTCAATGAGTTCAAGCTGAACATTACTGGGTGCACCATCCACATGGCATGTAAATGGGGAAAAGATCATGTTCATTTCATTCTCAACTGTTTTGAAGTCTTTAAATCGCCTTGAAAACTCACCATGCAGTGCTTCTAACATGGATGAGTACCTCTGGAGGTGATCAGCTGATGGTGTGGCTTCCTTCAGTGTTGGCAAGTGCGTGAGAATGTTGTCCTCCATTTGGCTTGAGAGAAGCTGCAGCTTTCTCATGAAAGCCTTCACTGCACTGTACATGTCATGCACAAAAAGGCCCTTGCCTTGCAGTTTGACATTTAGTTCACTCATTAGTGCAGTCACATCTACAGCAAAACCAAGGTCTGCCATCCAGTCTGCATCTGAAAGCTGTGGGATGTCGTTTCCTTTCTTCACACAGAAGTCTTGAATCTCTTCTCTCACGTCCCATACTCTTTTCAGCACTTTGCCCAGGCTGAGCCACCTGACAGCTGCATGGTAGGGTATGTCACGATGTTCAGTCTCACTTTCCTCCAAAAGTGCAACAAACTGTCTGTGATTCAATGCTCTTGCCCTGATGAAGTTAACTATTTTAGTTACAACATCAACAACATGGTTAATTTTTAACACTGACTTACACAACACTTCCTGATGTATAATACAATGCAAAAATACCTATTTCTGCTCAGGGTTAATTTCTGTCACTTTATCCTGCATTCTCTTCAATAGTCCAACATTTTTCCCTGTCAGATTTGGACAACCATCCGTTGTCACGCCTGCCAGCTTGTCCCATTTCAGTCCCAACTTTTCCACACATGCATTTACCTCCGTGAACAAATCACTCCCTGTTGTTGTCCCTTTCATTGACTGCATGGCTGCCAGCTCCTCCGTGATTTTGAAGTCTGTAGTTATCCCACGTAGGAAGATGAGTAGCTGGGCAGTGTCACGTACATCGCAGCTCTCATCCAAAGCCAAGGAAAAAAAGTCAAAGTTGACCGCTCTGTTCTGCAGCTGAAGCTCCAGATTTCCCGCGATGTCCTCAATTCTCCTCGTAACAGTGCGTCGGGAGAGCGGCACTTTCTCAAATGCCTCCTTTTTCTCCGGGCATATTAGTGTCCAACAAACACTCCTTAATGAACTCTCCGTCCGAAAACGGTTTACTTTTAAGACATAACTCGTCTTGACAGCTGCATCTCTGGATGTGGAATGTTTTGTGAAAATGTGTTGTTGGCTTTGCAGCTTAGCTAGCAAAGCATCCGACCCCTTTGCCCACTCTTCCTCAGACAGGTTCTTGTATTTATCTGCGTGTTTGGTAGCATAGTGGCGACTCAAATTGTACTCCTTGAACACAGCGACCTGCGCACCACAAACTAAACACACAGCTTTACCTTTCACTTCTGTAAATAAATACTTAGCGGTCCATGTCTTGTTGAAAACGCGGCATTCAGTAT